ATAGGCTACTAAAGTGGTGAGCCAATTTAAAATCGTTAGTTTCGTATTGATTGTTGGTAAGATGCTTTCATTATCCATGTCTGAAATGAAGTCAAAGTGGTTAAATCATAGAGGTAACTCTAAGACCACTGGGTCCCGAAGAAAATCATTATTATTTTTGGCTCACTCAGTACCAGAACAACGGTCCCAAGCAGTCCCAAGCTATTTCACTCACCCCTGCATGTTCTGCATGAATCCACACACCCCTGATGTTATCTGTCAAACTTTCATAGCGAATCAAAACAAACATAGTGTAGTAATAGAATTTCAACTAGAATAGGGTACGTTAATCGTTTGCTTGGGACCAATAGGCTACTAAAATGGTGAGCCAATTTAAAATCGTTACTTTCGTATTGATTGTTGGTTCTACGTAATACCACACAAAATTGATGTTTTTCATGCATTTTTGACTATTATACTTTATCTTAAAATTTTCAAGTATTTCAATGTTTCGGTTATGGTTCACTCAAAACAATTTAAACATTTTTCTTGACAAATATATTAATGTGAAATTCAACATGATTTTCACACATAAACAGAATCCACTCAGAAGTACACATGACATTTATACGCAAATGAATAGTATGTGTGGTCACGCATGGTTTTATGGCCGACACATAGATATTGATTTGTTGATCACGTTGCAACAATTCATGTGTGGAACACATAAAAACTCCAGAACAAGATTCTTAGGATGATCCTAAACAGTTCAGTACCCGAAATTCTGTGGTTCACCGCCTGGCTGGCCTTCAGCCTCTCGAAGAGCGACGAACGGTCTCCTTGGAAAGGTTCAGAGACACCTGGCTGAGATCAGATCTTCAGATCATACGTGATCTGGCACGTTAGTTAAGTTAGACTCGTAGTTAGGTAGGTTATCAAATTTTGCAATTAAAACAAAACACACCCTCTAAGGGGTATTCTGTTAACTAGATGAAATATGCAAATACTAAATTAGAATATCCAATTAACAAAGATGAAGAGCCAGATAGGCTAATCAATTGAAATGTAAAATCAATGTATATACCATAATCAACAGAAATAAACGAATTTTTACTACTAGGGTTAACTAAGCCATTTCCGGCCTATTAAGCACAACTCGCACTTAAGGCCGGCACACAATAGATACGATTTCAGATTTTTTGACAGTTAGCTCATGCATTATCTGTCAAAAAACCTGAAAACGTATGCATTGTGTGCCGGCCTTTAGTCTTTCTTAATCTAGTGCAGTTTAGCACCAAATGGAATGTTATTATTACTGATGGCTTCCAAATTTATTTACCTTTCCGTACGTGCCGTAAGATTTGATAAAAAGAAACCAATCGTTGAGATATTGTCAAAAGTCTAACACTGCTTCTTGACGCCAAACTCGGCCTACGGATTCTAGTTCTAAACTCGGCCTAACGCATTGCAACGCCATTGAAACCTCGATTGAAACGCCAATGAATTCACTTCGGTCTATCGGATGATGATAAAAATTGATTCGGTCGGAGCGCTTCTTTTGTTTTTGGGAATAATGGGTGCAAACCTTCATATCACGCGTTCTCATTGACTTCGTTCAGTAGCTTATTAACTAAAGTATCGTATCAAATGCATAATTGACTTGTTAACTCTGAAATCATGGATTTATTTGAAGTTTTCTGCTCGATAGGCCCAAAATGGGCGATTAGGCCGAAGTAGTATTCTACCCTACTACTTTTAAAGTCAGTGGTGTGTAATTCATCAACATAATATTATCGAATATGTCTTCTTTCAAGCATTTTTTTCCCCACATTTGAAAGTTATGGTGCGGGAAGAAATTAAGGGAAAAACTTCTGTTTTTCCTAATAATTGTGGTTTGTTTAAAATTTATTTCCCGGAAAAAGTGATCGTCAAAGTCCATGTCTTTTTCGGGTTATTGCTAAGGGGGGAGGTGGAGAGGTTGTTGAGGTGGAGGAGGGAGTTTTACATGCACGTTTTTTCAAGTCTCATTCTTTATTGTGGTGGACACGCCGTGATCCACCTTTAGCCGCTGACTTAGTCCTGCTGTCTGCAAGATCTAGTGCCAAGCCGTCCGAAGCGGTAATGAGCAGAGGCAGGAGAGCAGCGCTGATTTATATCTTTTCATGTTCAAGCAGAATGATGTGCAACCACGTGGTATTCGTTTATGATGACTGGGTTTGGGAAAAAGGCTTATTTCATGAAAACAGTGATAAAATTATCATTTGTACATTTTCAATAGTTTAATAACAGAAAAATTGAAAAAATATTTATTTCAGCAGGTTTGTAATGTAATATCCTTTCGATTGGCGTATTTGGATTTTAATTTTATCTATAAATGACAAAGTTACAAGCGTTCAAAATCTAACACTCCTTCACGACACATATTTTTTGATTTGCACCCCAGTATAGTCGACAAAGACGTAGTTCTACGTCAAAAATATCCACCAAATGGTTCAGAGCCTTAGCATCCCATGGCATCCAGTCAGAGTCCATTTCAACCACAACATTCAATCCAATTTTAAACTTATGAATAAGTCTCGATTACTTTTTCGCAGGAACGTATCATGTTTTGTAAACAATGCATTTTATCGTCGATTTGGCGTAACTGGTAGCTCGTTCACGCATAATTGTCACTATCAGATATGGGAAATTTTCCCCTACCTAAGAGTGGTGTTAGAATGCGTGAGCGAGCTACCAATTAAGTCAAACCTACGATCAAACGCATCCCTAGTATAATTCTATTATTTGGGTTATCGTTCGTTTACGGTAGTTTTTTATTAGAGATTGTTTAAAAAAGCTGATACGTCCCTTCGAAAAGTAATCAAGAAGTGTTTTCATTGATGAGCATTTTTTTCCGAAAATCCACGTGTACACATATGTTGAATAAAAAAGAACTTAATTACACTTACCAGTCAGTTTTTGATAAGAACCGCTATCCAGTTTTATTATTTTTTTAAGCCGTTCCATTTCGCGATGTGATACCATAGAGGTAACTCTAAAGGCCCACGCACATTAGATCCGGATCGGACGCGTTGCGGCAAAGTGACAGCCAAATCTTTTGTCTAACTGTCAAATTTACGTCAACGCAACGCAAACGGATCTAATGTGGGTGGCCCTTAAGAGCAGAAGGTCCCGAAGAAACGAGCTCAACTTTTTGCCTCAGCTCCCCGCATAAACGCGAACCATAAATTGACCTTACCTAAAATGGTTAAAAATTGTTTATAATCCCTGCTAAACTTTAACTGAAATGGTTATGGAACTTTACATGAACGTTTAATGATAAAGTTTCAACCTTATGTATTATGGTTTTTTGGAACTGGACCTTACAAATAATGGGTTGTTAAGAACCATTACCGTTCCAAATTCTTGTTTTCTCCATACATTTTCGGAAAGAGAACTATATTAGAACCTTTTAACTTATGGTTTGAGAACTTTAATGGTAATGGTTATGGTAGTCAGTTAGGTCCACGAATGGTTTTGTTACATCGATCAACTTTATGTGGAATATATCGCGAATTGGTTACCTGTAATTTACTGATTACCAATTCACGATATATTCCACGTAAAGTTGAGCGATGTAACAAAACCATTAATGGACCTTACTGACTACCATAACCATTACCATTAATGTTCTCAAATCATAAGTAAAAACGTTCTTATATAGTTCTCTTTCTGAAAATGTATGGAGAAAACAAGAATTTGGAATGGTAATGGTTCTTAACAACCCATTATTTGTAAAGTCCAGTTCCAAAAAACCATAATACATAAGGTTGAAACTTTATCATTAAACGTTCATGTAAAGTTCCATAACCATTTCAGTTAAAGTTTAGGAGGGATTATAAACAATTTTTAACCATTTTAGGTAAGGTCAATCTATGGTTCGCGTTTATGCGGGTCTAGTACTATCTTCGGTCCCAAGCTAATCGATTCACCCCTCGAAACATAGGGAAATCCACTAACCCCTCATTTTTTCTGTCAAACTTTCATAGCGTATAAAAACAAACAATGCGTAGTACTAGAATTTCGACTAGAATGGGGTACGTTAATCGTTTGCTTGGGACCAATAGGCTAGTAAGTAGTGAGCCAATTTAAAATCGTTAGTTTCGTATTGATTGTTGGGTAAACCACAGACAAACAGACATAACACATTGAATATTTCTCACTGTAAAACATAGTCGCTAAAACATTACCGCCATCTGTTGAGTACACTCTGATCGGCACTACACTGAACAGATGGCGGCAGTGTGTAAACGTCAAACGCAAGGGAATTGACTATGCGCGCCACAGGTGGCGGTACTACCAACTACGATACTTTTAAATTGTCCGTTAAATGCTTGTTCGACGAACAACTTGCAAGTGTATGTCTGTTTGTCTGTGGGTAAACTATGATCGGAATGACAAGTTGACAAATGAACAAAGTCTATCGAATTCATGTCGATGTTGTCCATTTGTCAACTTGTCACTCCCAACATAGTGTACCCATTTTTTGGAAGGTTTAGTTTTGACCAATCTGGGTAGATTCTACCCAAATTTGGGTAGTTTTGAAATAGCGTGTGTGAAATGAACTTAAATTTTGGGTTGTTTTTATTTTTATGTTAACATCGATCTGAATGCCCAGAAAAAAAATAATTTTAGCACACTTAACACTATAGTGCCTATAGACCAATGACATTTATATAAGGCCTGGGCCAGCAGGCAGCTTGCTGGTTTAGAAGCAAAAATGTTGTAAACATTGCTGAACATCTGCGAACAGATAGATATACGTCACTGCCAACATACTGAGAACAGATAGAAATACGTCACTGCCAACAGCTGTTTCGTGTAAAAAGATAAACATTGCAATATAATACGAACACCACTAACCATTTGCACATTTCACTAACACCAATAAGCCCTTTGGCCCAGACCTTATATAAACGTCATTGCCTATAGACTGCTGTCAACCATTGAAACATATTATATTTTTCATGTTTGTATGACAGTCAGTCCAAATTTCGCATTAGATTCTGTCGTTTTGCATCCCAACCAACCGAGTGAAGCTGCTTTTTTGATCGCCTCAGTTTTTCGAAGCGAATTTCTAGTTTTCGGTTCCAATTTTTACCATTTTCGCGTCGCGCAATATTATGGCAGACAAAGAGAGCAAGGATAAACCGAAGGTCGACCTGGGTCTCCTGGAAGAGGACGATGAGTTCGAAGAATTCCCTGCAGAAGGTAACCTCACTTTGTTCGTGTGGAGATGATTGGCATAAATTCATGGATTAGCGTTGTTTACATATTCTATCTATCTTTTCAGATTGGACGGGCAATAAGGAAGACGAGGAAGAGCTGAGCGTCTGGGAGGATAACTGGGACGATGACAATGTGGAGGACGATTTCAATCAACAGCTGCGAGCGCAACTTGAGAAGCAGAAACCTAACTAAGTTTTTATTTGTATTATATTCCAATAAAACCCAGATGGAAATTTAAGTAATAATTATTCAGCCTATTTAGCTAGCACTAGTACCTTCAGCCTCATCTTCCTTCACTGCTACCTTAGTGCCGAGGAAGCGGAACGCTTCGAATTCTCCAATTTTATTCCCGTCTTTGTAGTGATATGATTCGAAGCACGCTTGGCACACGTAAGCCGGGTCGAAAATGTGCTGGTCACTGTTCTTCACAATAAAGTTCGCTTCACAATGGCCACAAATGTTGCACGGAATCGATCGAGGAAAGGCATAGGAATTCAAAATTGGATATCGCTTCCGAGTCAGTACGTCAGAGAAAGTAAGTAACCGGCAGTCCGACATTACGAATATGTGCTCACAGTTGCCGTGATGTTGATAAACCTAAAACGATGAATATTGACTGAGGTTGTAGAATTATATGATGACTTTTAACAAATCACCTGTGGATATCCCAACCGGAAAAATAATTGGTCGAATTTAGTGTCTTCCATCTTCTTGCTTTTCAACTCCCCTACACACTTTTGTCGTTCTGCCCATTTGAGGATCACATCCGAATAGTCCATATTATCGTCGTTTCTCATGTCGTTGTAGAAAGTGTCGTGAATGAAAAAGAAGCCAGGATTTGCTTCATCCGGTGAGCGTTTTTCTTCCGGTTCGTGAGGATTTTCGCTTAAATCAAAGAATGGACCTGCATCGCACGGGCAATATATTTTATCTCTTAGTTCCGCTAGAGTTTGAGAACCGATTACGTAAAATTCCTGATGAAATTTTGGATGTCCTAAGCGAACTCCTGTTTTGTACTTGAAAGGTTCGTAGAATCGTATTTTAATCAACATTTCCTCGAATGGAACCAGATCAGGTTCGTCCGTTTGTGGACATGCCGTGTACTTATGCTTGTTGTAACGCATTCTAGTGTCCAGATTCTTACGGATTCTTCCGGTTATGTTTAAAGCAGTCTGAACGCAGCGGAATTTACGTGCCTTTTCCGGAATTTCGATTGGTTTCTGTACAGTCTGAACATTAGATGGATCGAACGGCATAACGCGTAGATCTTTGGTACTAGGTAGGTTTAAGTCAAGGTCGATGGACTGCATCAGATCGTTGAACTGGTTGTTAGTTCCGGTGAATCCAATCGCCTCAGCAATATCCTCTTCAACACACGGGGTTCTCGTTAAGGCCGGAGTGAGCAGCTCATTCACGAATCCCAGAAAGGATTGTTGAACTGATATTACTTCTCCATTCTTTGGTTTGTATATTTGCTCCATAGTTGGAGTTTCCAGTACTTACGTATTTATTTTAGAAGCTTAGAAAATGAAAAATAAATAACACCGCGAAACTTGTTTAGTAGGTATAGCGTGCTTGTGAAGAAAGACGGACAATAATTTATTTGCAGAATTTGTAAACAAAACAATAAATAATAATAATAATAATAATAATATTATTGTACTAAAAGACTCTGAAAACATCGCATATCGAATCCAAGTATTCATTGGTGTTGATGGTGAATTTGGATCTCTTTACTCCTATGGTAAAATTGATAAGCAAATGTCAGGAGGCTGTGTCTCAAACATGGCGGACTTTGTATTATCCTTTCACTCCATCGAAAATACCCATAATAAACTGTTAATCTTTGCAAGAAGAGACGATTACTTGACGGTGCCGTCAAATCCGATTGTAAACATTACTTTTCATTTTGACATATTCAGTATCGCATTCTAAAATTCACAAAATCAATGAGAGGTGCCAAGTGCAGTAGCTTTTCTAGAGTGAATAATAGTTCATCAGCTTATATTCTGAGATAAAATGGATCGTTCCATCAATAGATTAGAGTGCCGGGTGTGTGAATCGGAAGAATTGCTTATAAACATATTCATGAATGAAGTTCACAGGATTGTCGAAAAACTTTGTTTTTGTGCATCGGTACAGGTAAGTCGTCTTAGTTCCCCAGTGTTTAAAATATGGGAGTTCTAGATGTGATACACAAAAACAGGGTGTCCATGCAACCGGGGGAAAAAACGGGAATCCGGATTTGCCGGGAAAAATGCGGAAAACCCCAAATCACACAAAGAAAGATCATAAATACTCATTCCAAGTAACAATTTGGGGTTTATCTTAGTCTTGTAGGCCATGATTTAGTCTTGAAGAATCATTAAAACCTTTATAAAACTTGCAATATTACTTGGAATCAATCAATTTCCCTTAATAAAAATTGTATGGTTAATTTGCTTAACGACGTGTTCTGGGTATCATCCAAACCATTTGTGGAATAGTTCAATGATTTGGGTTATCGTTCGTTTATGGTTATTTTTTATTAGGGTTTATATCACATACACCATTATATTCTCTTGTTTCCACATCTGTTTACAACTTTCATATTATGTCTTTCACAGTGGTAAAGTATCCAAAAATCTTCAAAATTATTTCACATATTAGAGAGGGTCCACGGTAGTATGAGAAGTGAACATGTTGTACACCCCCTTCCAACTAGAGAGGGACTAGTATAAGAGAAGGTCGGAGTGGCTGGTTTTGAGCCAAATGAACTGTCAAAGCCAGAGCCAATCGAGCACCGCCTATTTTGATAGCGCTGGCAGTGTTGCTAGAAACCACCTAGGCATAGGTTGCCAAGGCAGTTTGTTTTGAATCCGCTCCTCTCTTATACTAGACCCTCTCTACTTCCAACCTTTCGCCGCCACGATTTATAGACAATAGACGAGTTCACGGGTGAACTTTTGTCCATCTACTGAATAAAAATTGACACAACAGCGGAGCCCTGTTAACTAAAAATGAACACATGAATAATACTCGCATAACATTTGAAACAGGCCTATCAACTTTTGTACACAAAACTTGTTAAGTCCTCTTCGCGCGAACCGAATACGCCCACGTAAACTAACAACACCATCGGGTAGGGAAAATCCCCTTCCCGATAGTACTCTTGGTTCGCGTGGGTGTACTTCGGTTCTGGTGAAAAGGGCTTAGCAAGTTGTTTACAAAAGTTGATAGGCCCTTTTCAGATGTTACGTGAGCATTATTCATGTGTTCATTTTAGTAAACAGGGCTCCGCTGTTGTGTATTGTGTCAATTTTTATTCAGAGGGAACAAAAGTTCATCCGTGAAATCGTCTATTGTCTATAAATCGTGGCGGCGAAAGGTTGGAAGTAGAGAGGGTCTAGTATAAGAGAGGAGCAGATTCAAAACAAACTGTGGTTTCTAGCAACACTGCCAGCACTATCAAAATAGGCGGTGCTCGATTGCCTCTTGTTTTGACAGTTCGTTTGACTCAAAACCAGCCAGTCCGATCCTCTCTTATACTAGTTCCTCTCTAGTTGGAAGGGGATGTACAACATGTTCACTTCTCATACTACCGTGGACCCTCTCTAATATGTGCTATAGTTTTGAAGATTTTTGGATACTTTACTGTTGTGTCACTTTTAGTCGAGTGAGTGAACTTAAATCCATCCGTGCACTCGTCTATCTTGCAATCTGTACTTATATGAAATTTTCTCAGCAACAACTTTTCTCAAAACCACTTTTTAATTGATCGTCAGAAGAATTAGTGATTAATTAATTAAGAAGATTATTTTAACATACTCCATCAAGGTATTAAAAATATCTCCAAATGACAAAATGTCAAGCGATCAACGAACCGAATCATAACGCTATGGGTTGATGCATATATTGTCTGTGCATATATTATGTCACGCTCTAAGGGGGAAGTCACGCTCTAAGGAGGGGTCTAAGATTTTGTGACAAGCAATGCATTAGGTATAGGAAAAACGTCATGATAGGGGGGAGGGGGTAATTTTTTGCTCGATTTAGCGTGACATAATTAATGAATGGGCCCTATGTCAGAAGTGGAAAGCAATAATGATAAAAAACTTCTTCCTTTTTTTCATGACAAGCAGCCCGTGCGACACAGCTTACTCGTGGCGGTAGAAGGGAACTGAGCTCCATTTGTATGTAGGTTACACTTAATTGAATAATATCAAGCGATTCTCAAATGAGAATTACACATGCCTTCGTCAAATGACTAAACAAACTAATATCACCCCTTTGAAAGGGTTTCCTTTAAAAACGGATAGTTGCTCAAATATGTTCAATTGATTTTGAGAATTTTTCAGCACTGCCATCAACTGTTCAGCAGGCAACATTGGTGTACTTGATGCGAAAAATAGGGCGTTAAAACCAGGCTACTATGCAATAGTGTAAGATGCATTGTCGATTAATCATATTAGAAAGTTATCAGTTTCGAAATTAAATAATATCTAATTATCTTGAAGTTCAATTAAAAAGTGGTCTTCAGCAAAGTTGTAGTTGATTAATCATATTAATCACATAAGAGGAGATAGCAAGCTTACCCGTAAATAATTTTGGAAAATGGTAGGACGATGAGAACAAAAGGTTCACTTTTCCCATAGTAATTTACACATATAATTTAAAGAGCCAATGTAGTATGAGATCGATACCAAATGAGCTCAAATTATGGAAAAATTATCTGGACTGAATTTTGAAGCGATTTAGCGGGTCAGAGCAAAATCAATATGTTGAACCACACTAATAACTATGCTGTTCGAGCAATCATAGTTGTTTTGTCAGAATCGTAGTAGATTGTTTTGAATTCATAGAAAACTTTAACTATACTGAAATCATAAGAATTTCAACGGTGTTAACTAGAATACTAGAAGGAGAGATGAGCGTATGTTTTGAGCCAATGAACTGTCAAAATCTGAGCCAAACCTCTTAGAGCCAAACAAACATTCCCATTAGATTTTTTTCCGAGAATTTCTTATTCTTACTAGATTAAATTTGAGAGTATTGCAATCGAACAGAAATTCAATCACCCTTATGTTTCGTGTGCTTCTCAAATTCAACTAGTTTTTGGAATCAAAAACAATATTCTAGCTCTATTGATTAATTGATCTTAGTTGGTTAATTAATGGCACCAAAAACTGTGCAAAATATTGCGATGCAATCAATTATTAATTTACACGTAGCACGTAAATCGAATCAAAAGTAAAAGTCATGTGAAATGCTAAGTTTTATCAAGGGTTGCAAGATAATTTAGATACAAATCCCTGCTGCCGAATTGTATTTTGTTTTCTCCGCCCATCTCTCCCTCTGAGTATTTCTAGTGTTAACCAGTTATTCCGTAATTGCTGTATCTCGTTTTTTATTTACAGGTTTCTGAAAACGATGGCCTCCCTCAGCACATTTGCACAAAATGTTTTGCAGACTTGGAAATAGCTTATGCCTTTCGTAAACGCTGTGAGGAAAATGATGCTAAGCTTCGGATACCATTGAATGTACCAGTTAAAGTAGAAATATTTGAATTTTTGGCCTCAGATATAGAAACCGTTGAAGAACTCGAAGAAGTAAACTACCCATGCGATAACGAAATAAACACGTCCGAAAATGCTATCAGTAAGCCAGATGTGGAACTGGGCCATTTTGAAGAACAAGACAGTGTTTCATGTGACACTAGTGATCTAGGTGATGCCGATTCCCTCGATGAACTACAACCAAGTATTCAAAAAATCTCTAAAACTTATACTTGTGACACATGCGGGACGGTATTTTCGATAAGAAGTGATTATCATGATCATATCAGAGCACACGGAACCAAACGGTTTCAGTGTAAAACCTGCTTGAAATGGTTTTCGCGTAAACCGGTTTTGATCAGACACGAACTTCGCCATCTAGGAAAACAGAAACGAGTGCCGTGTGATCGGTGTTCGCTAGACTTTAATTGTCGAGCAGCTTTAGTTCGCCATATAGCAGGTGTTCATGACAAACGACGAGATTTTGTATGTACTATTTGCGGTCACGGGTTCTCTCAAAAGACAGGCTTACAAGCTCACCAATCAGTACACAGTGGATCGCAATTTAGGTGTTCAATATGTCATGCAACTTTTAAAAGCCTGCGGTACTATTTGCGTCATGAGCAATCACATTTACCACCGGAAAAAAGAGATCCCAAACTGATGTTCACTACGACTTCTTACAATTCATATAAGCAGCAAAAAAGAATCTACGTTTGTTCTTACTGTGGAAAAACATCTAATACCCTCAACGGTCACATAATTCATGAGCGTTTCCATAGAGATGAAAGACCCTACCCGTGTAAAACATGTGGCAAAGCTTTCCGCCGTAATGTATTGTTGAAGAAGCATATGCGAACTCATACAGGAGAGAGGCCCTACAAATGCGAAATTTGTGGCAAATGTTTCAGAGAAAAATCACACCTCACTACGCATAACCTAACGCATACACAGGAGAGAAAACATGTTTGTCAGATATGTTCCAAAGCATTTGCGTTGAAATGTACATTAAAATCTCATTTGAAATGTCATGCAGTTTGTGATGAAAATGAATCAATTCAATAAAATGTATAACGTTTGTCGACTGGTAAATGTCTTATGGCGGTAAGTTCCAACTCGGATTAATGTTTAATACCGGGCCTGTTTAGAAGGTATGCCAACAACCTGATATTCGTTATTGGGATTTAATTTGAATATAATACTGGTTGGAGCTTATCACCATTAGTGTATTATTTGGGGTCTTATGGGGTAAATCTTAGACAAGACATCACAACTGCAACACTACAATCAGCCTCTTTGTGCTAACTAGAGAAAGCCTCGTGTGCTAAATAGAGAAAGTTCATGCATAGAAAATCGGAGCATACATTAGGTACATCACCGTACATCACTCAAAATTTAGAGAAAAACAAGACCTCCCCTCTCCGACGTCACTTTTTTTCCTATACCTAATGCATTGCTTGTCACATATTTGTAAACCTCCTCCCTCTTATACCGTGACGTACTTAATTGATGCTTCCATATGTATGTAAGAAGCCACAATCCTAGCTTGGGTCTTGCCCTGCATGCGGCTCCACTTAACAGCAAGATCAAATTTCGTAATCATTCTGAATTCAACATATTGCTGTATGAAGGGCCAAAAAGGATTGGGCGGGCCCGTAAGCAGATACACTTACGCGACACTCGCGGGAATAAAAGAATCTCCTTCCAGCAATATGATCCAACAAAACGAACCACGAAATTCGCAATACATGATAAGCTTTCCACGGCATGGTTTGTTTGAGAAGAGCGCGTCAAATTCATTGCAACTGTTGGAGTAAAATGCAACTATCTAAAATGACAGAACATTTCCTCCTAGACTCCGGCTGGCACTCCACTCCATTGTCCAGTTACAACTTCAATGATACTCTGATGCTCCCTCCCGTCCCCGCATTTTATGAGTATACAATATAATTTTAAATATATAACATGCATTATTTGAAGTTTATTAAATATATAGTGAATTGCAAAATATAAGAGAAAATAAGCATGAAAATGTTCAAATAACGTAGCTTTTAAATTTTGACAATAGCACTTTTTTATAATTATTATTACCCCTTAATATTTTAGTAGGCTTTAAACATTTAGCCATAGAATGACCTAACGCATCATGGAATATTTTGAAAATATCGATACTATTTTTAGCAATGTATCAATAGACCGAAAAATCTAGGTTATTTGGACATGAAACAATACTTTTGCAAGGATACTAATGAATAAATCAACAATGAATGTATATAGTGAAAAGCCTGTAAGAGTAAAATTATTTGGTTATTACACTGTAATGTAAGGTTATATTAAGACAATTTGAAATTATCTCCAATGATGCTATGCTGTTTACTTCCAGACGTATTTATATCCTGTTTGTAAATATTTGAACAATTAATTAATTATTTTGAACAAAATAAATATAATTTCATGTAATGTATTCGTTCTAGCATTATACCAATATCGATACTTTTATGAGTTGGCTTTTAAGACAGGTTCTATGCTACTAAAACAATTTTAAAAATGGGGTTATACAATTTATGTTAAAAGTTGCATGGATGTTCTTCGATTGACGCTCATGTGTTTCGTATATTTTCATCATGCTAAATATAAAATAGATAATAATTTCTTATTATTAACTGCAAATTAGATACGAAAAAAATCATTGTCAATTTTGATTATGAAATCTAGAAACGCAGAAAGATAGTGAAATAATGCCAAACAACAGATGATGTATCTGCCTACATTTATTGAATTTAGTGTGCCTTGCGGTGAAATCCTCAAAATTCAAATGGTATTTGCCAGTTACTAAGCTCGGTGGTGCATCACCCAAGATGCTTTGCTCGTTGTACTTCATTGAAATGTAGAAATATAAGCAGTTTCAAATTATATGGCCTTTTATCTGAGCTAATCGTAAAGACGGACGTACCTTTTAATATACTAGTAATCGATATCATCTGTCGAACTGGGAACACGGCATATGCATCTCTAACTTTACAGCGCAGTTTGCATTCACGCTTATTCTATTCCATTGGAGTACTCTCACACACGCATAAAAGTCATACTTGAAAGCTTCATTGAGCGGTGCGCCTCTCCCGGTTGTGCCATCCAACACATATACACTTTAGAATAAACACCATAGAGATCTCCAAGCGCAATCTCACGAACACTAAAATCGAACATCCATATATAAAAATTAAGAAGAAGAAGATTCAAAAAGGTATCGCGATATCACAACTACTTAAAAAGGTAGCGCGCGGTCTCACGCACACTTTTGTGCATCTGGAGAACTCTATTCGGAGATCAAATCTCCCCTCAATAGACCAGTCCACATATAACGATTATCTTCATCTACCGTCTCTTTCGCAAATAACTCGGATACAAAAATGTTCCCTGTCGTATTTGTTTTATGAAATGCTAGATTGTTGTTTCTTCTATGGAACTGTGTGTCGAAAATCTCCGGAAATATCTTAACATGGCCATGGCGATTCAAAGAGAAAGTCGATGAAGAGAACCGATCAATGTAGACAGGATCCATTGAAAAGTGCCGCGCGAAATCAATCTGTGGATAATACTCTCTCACACATACAGTACTTATTTCGTTACTGATTTCGAAACGCTGTACGGGAACATCCACAAATCACGTAGCATTTGATGGGGAACGGTTTTTTTTAGTTTCAGAAGTTGTGACCGGTCACGTATTAGGCATAGCAAAATACGCTACGAGGAGGGAGGGTGTCTAAAGTTGGTAATAACTATGCTACGTCATTTATGGCTGGTCCCTAAAAAGCTGGTGTTTCGACATCCTCGTTGCTGAAATACCTGCTCTGAAAATGATGTATATTGAAATAAAAACAGTGACGATGATGCTTGTTGTAGTGCCACTTCTTGTTGGACATGGTTTAGTTTGCTAAATTCAAATTCATTAATCATTTTTATAAATAAAGCTTCATATTTTAACATAATTATTCCGATCAAACAAAAACAATTTACTTATCTTTTAATCCGCACATTAAATCTGGCAACATCTATGTAAAAGCGGGAATACTCCTTCGGTTTGCGCTATCTCAATCTTCTCTCTAGACGTTGAGAATTTTCAGCTATGCATACTCACTCACACTGTCTAGTTCCACGTACGTGTGCGAAATCTTTCATAATGCTTTTACCGTTTACATTTCATGTTGCACACCGATTACTCTTCTTCTCACCAATACAACCTAACTCCACGATATGGGCTTTTATTCGTCAATGAAAACACAATTTCAATAATTTTCACAACTTTCTTCATGAAAATGACTTGAAAGCACAATCCACAACTTAATTTTATGTACAGCTCTCCATCCTGTCCATGCACTTAGTCAGATCAAACAAAATTAACACTGTGCTGCTCTTTTTTCATGTTCATTCACTCTACTCTAGCATAAACCATTATTAATAATTCTAACATTTCACTCGATAATTTGATTAACAATGAAAAACAGATAAATAATTTCGGCACACAATTGAAAGCAGAACCGATAGAAAATCTTGAAGACACAAAACAAAACAAAATCCAGACTCTTTAACTCAAGACAACCGTTCTCGACGAACGACGCGAGCGAACTGCTTAATTGATGCTTCCATATGCACAGAAATAAAGAACCAGTGACGATGATTGTAAGAGACGCGCGAAAACTGAAACCAAATGTTCCAATCGAACCGTCAAATGCAATTCCAATCGAGCAATGTAAATACACACGAGTGCTTCACAAGGAAAAAGCGTTGGGTGTATTGAAATTGAGGTTGCATTTAATTGTTGAGATTTAAATAATTCTTAATTATACTTATTTAAATCTCAATAATTAAATTGCGTACGAAAAGTAAAATTGAATATAGCTATAGCTGTATACTCCCTTTCTTTCAAATTCACCCCAAATTTGATATTTTACCCCTTTGAGTGTTGATTAATCATAATGAAACATTGTGACAGAGCACGGACTTGAGGTTACTAGAGTGTTAAATAATCTAGGACGTATTTAGGATTATATGATATATATGATAGGATATAAGTTATATCTGAAAAAAGAGATGAACTAGCCTATGGCTAAAAATCTCTATAATAAAGGAAAAAAAAAATATATCTGAAAAATCCAAATCTGGCCTACATCCACCACGTAACGATCATCTTCGTCTCATTTCATGATGTTAAGATATTTCTATTTATTTTTGATTTCGTTGTATCTTTTTTATTTCTAGCTAATTATATTATTAATATTCAAAATAAAAAAAAATAAAACAAAAAATCAGCGTACCATCCTGTTTTTTCAAAGTTTAAGCACAGACCTCGGGGGACGACACTTCAGGATTATCCAATTTTTACCCAAATCACTCCTAAAATTTTCAACGTGCACAAAATTTCAATCCATCCTATCTATCCTTTCTATTCCCAACTTATCCCTTCTGCATGCACACAAATCATCAAGCAAGCCGTGCAGTTTTCAGGTCGATCGCGAAGCATTGTCAGTTTTCAACGATCTCAATAATAAACATGGTGTTAAAACAATTTGATATTCGTTGAGTCGTTCAAGGTCCTGGCGAAGCTGGTGGAAATGAATTAGGGAATAAATAGTACGAAGGTAACCACCACGTATATCTATGCTGAAGGCCAAGGATGAAGTGATTTCTCGATTGACAAATGAGAACATCTGAAATAAGAAGCAGTTAAAATCGTTAAACTGTTTATTTTTTAATCTGAATTTGAAAGAATTAACGAAACACACTCGATTCAGTCCAATGGAAATGAAAAGAATCATAAAATTGAAACTGAACCCCAAATTTTCAAACGTTGAATGTGAAAATTCACAGATTTTGAGTGGTGCCAGTATTGCACGAATCCGACGATATATCTCGCTCTTTCATTTGTGGAGAGTCGATCGAATATTATAGGGCAGGTGTGGGATGAGCAGGATGACCAGTGAACCGGGAAATCGGGAAAAAGCCGGGAATTTTAATGACAAATCGGGGAAATAATTACTTCATCAATTTTTCAGAAAAAAAGATTTTGAGGCATTGAAAAGTTTTAAGATTTTAGGACCAGACTAAACTTTTTTTGGAATATTGAGTAGATTTTAGAATGAATGTCAGGGATAACAAGTCATTTCAGGTGATATTAAAGGTAGTTTTAGAAAGCGCTCTAAGATATTTTAGACTTTCACTCCAAGTCACTTTTGTGAGTTCAAATTCAGGGTAGAATTTTTAAGTTAATTTGTCGAGAATTGCAAATCGGTTGTGAAGATCACACTATCGAGACCGGACCGAGGTTTCCAGCCTCGGTAACGGCTACACGAATCCGCGATGCTGCTATTTCTGCAGCTGCTGCCGCTTCTGCTGGCTTTCAAAAATTCAATAGTATCAATAGTAGAGGGCTTTTGTAGTCCAGCTGTCACCATCCAAACATTATTTTTCACTGAGTATTGACTAAAATGGCTACTTCGATGTTTTCCTTTCGTACTGTTTCATTTCAGTTGCACGCATCCCCATGACAATTTAAAGCACCCTCGCATTCAATGCAATCCCATTAGGAATCCCATATATTTTTTTTTATCCTTACTCAATTTTCGTCAAGATGACAAATTCAAAAAACTCTCTTCAATTACATTATTTTTACAGGCAAGCATGGTAAAATAGAATGCATCTAAATGAGTGTCGTTCCCCCTGGTTTAGTCACAAATCGTGGATTTTCTGATATTCTCCATACTGCAAAAATGATTTTCCTACCATTGAAGGGGCGACCGAGGGGGCGACATCTCTCGGATCTTCAGTATAGCTACTACTGAAATCATATAATTAATTGATTTTCGTTTCGTGTAATCGATCTTTCCTTTACCGATTTCTTTTAAACTGCGTACTGGGCGTACGCAGCTGAAAAGTAATGACGTTTTTACGTGCTACGGGATAGGACACGGAATGCTAAAGAAATTTCTTTTCCTTAGCATTTCTTGACCCAGTACGCAGTTCAAAAGAAATCGGTAAAGGAAAGATCGATTACATTAGGATCGTGATCGACATGAAGGTGGCGCATTCTGAATGCAATTTCACTTTCCTTGCGGAATAATGGTACTGATCAATTATTCCGTTAGGTAATGTTGGCGTTTATTGCAAAACTGATGTTTTGGATGCATTTAAACAACATAAACACTAATAAGTGTTGATTTTACAATTTGACCACATCTCCCTATAATCTCAAAATTTAGCAGACTATAGCTGTCAAATTTTCTTTTGGGAAAAATGCTCAAAAATTACTTTTCCGTTTTCTTTTCAGCTGCGTACCAGGCTATAAACACTAATAATTGTTGATTTTAAAATTTGACGACACCTCGCTATAATCTCATAAATCTCTAAATTCAGACTCTTTACTCCCTATTCAGCTTTCCATGCTTGGTAATGGCGGCCTGTTTGTAAGAATAAATGTATCCTTCACTGTGCTTTTTGACACTAACTGGAGGGCGTATGTTGTTCCATTTTCTTCTGTTCCTGGGAGAGGGAAAGAGAAGGGTCAAAAACCGAACCTCCAGATAGCACAGTGAAGGATAGATTTTTTCATACAAACAGGACGCCATTACTGAGCATGGAAAGCTGGATAGCTGTCAAATTTTCTTTTGCGAAAAATTACTTTTCCGTTTTCTTTTTAGATGCGTACCTACTAGGCTTAAGATTAAGGTTCAATTTACTTTGATGCTTTTTGGAAAATTTCAAAAGCAGTTTTTTTTTCCGACGCATTATTTCAGATTGCAAAAAGCTCGCACTATTCGATTCCTTTTGATATTTTACACAAAATGACGCGAGCTTTTTGCAATCTAAAATAATGCGTCGATAAAAACTGCTTTTGAATTTTTAAAACATGCATCAAAGTAAATTGAACCTTAAAACTTTATTGCCGGCGCCGCTGGTGTAGTGGTATGCGTGACTGCTTTCTCACCCCGGCCCATGTGTGTTGAATGGGTGCGATATCCTACGCAGGTGTGGAAGCTGCCTTCCTGCACATTCGATTGCCGTCAATGGATGGCAATCGATGTCCGTCGGTGATTGGCACTAGATTGCGGAACAAAGACCGACGTTAAATAAAGGAATGAAGAAGAAGAAGAAAACTTTATCACACAAACGTTCACGTAAAGTTCCATAACCATTTCAGTTAAAGTTAAAGCCTGGTACGCTGCTGAAAAGTAATGACGTTTTTATGTGCTACCGGATAGGACACGGAATGCAAAAGAAATTACTTTTCCTCAGCATTTCTTGACCCAGTACGCAGTTCAAATGAAATCGGTAAAGGAAACATCGATTACATTAGTATCGTGATCGACATGAAGGTGGCGCATTCTGAATGCAATTTCACTTTCCTTGCGGAATAATGGTCTGATCAATTATTCCGTTAGGTAATGTTGGCGTTTATTGCAAAACTGATGTTTTGGATGCATTTAAACAACATAAACACTAATAAGTGTTGATTTTACAATTTGACGACATCTTGCTATAATCTCAAAATTTAGCAGACTATAGCTGTCAAATTTTCTTTTGGGGAAAATCCTCAAAAATTACTTTTCCGTTTTCTTTTCAGCTGCGTACCAGGCTTAAGCAGGGATTATAAACAATTTTTAACCCTTTTCGATAAGATCAAGTTTTGGGTCGCGTTTGTGCGAGAGTGCATATAATTTACACACTAAGATTTTTTTACTGTATACTGTAATTTTTTACCGAATACGGAACAGCAGAACATCCGATATAAACGGTTCGGTAATTTTTTGTTGTTTTACAGTACATTCAGTAAATTTATCTTCGCTCGTGACCTGTCAAAATTTACTGAACCGCATTGTAAATTAAGCTGAATGATTGGTAAAGTTTACAATAGCACGCTATAGCGTTCCGTAAATTTTTTACCGACCATTTTGCTAAAGTTTTTTATTCTTAAAATTTTTTTTATAAAAGCAAAGCAAACGGTTTATTTGACTCATAAAAACATTTATTTTTTTACGTATGTATTAATATTGCGACGCGATTAAAGTTATCGGCGGCAAACTGGGAGATGCAGGAGATGAACCAGCTACTGGTTGAAAACCTCGATGATTAAAAACTCCGCACACATTGGTTGTTTTTTTTTCATTGCAGTTGTTGACATTCGGCTTATTCCATGGTGACTGGTAACCAGAAATGATTGACATAGGACTGAATGCAAAATAAAATTCAGTATAGCATAGATTACATACACGGATAGAAATCTCCTTATACCTTTTGGCAAATTTCCATTGCTGATTATTCATAAAATGTATAAGTCAACTAATAAGCAGACGCCTTGCAAAAAGTTAATAAAGATCATGTGTCAAATGAAATGTATAAGCGGTCACACATACCTTTTATGCATTCTAATAGGACCTATGTGGTTTGTCTTACACAGAAAAAAAAGTTGTTGTATATTACATCCAAACTGCTGCAACCAGGTCAATCCATCGGTTGTGTAATATAACGTTGTACGATGTACATCGATTTTGCGAACAAAATTACATCCATTGATGTAATATTGTATCTGCTTTTTGCTATTACATCATTATTTCGTACATCAGCTTGAATTACATTGATCGATATTACATTTTTTTTTTGCTGTGTATGGAATGTATAAGGCTGATGCTTTGGCAAAAATGTATAAGTGAAACACATGAATTAAATAATTGATTTTCGTTTCGTGTAGATTATAGCAAAAAAAACTTAAGTACTTACTTTTCACACTGGAGAAACAAATACCACTCAAACTCTTAATGGTCGCAAAGTTCGAGGTTGACAGCGAGGGTGACAGTATGAATTTTACATATCTGTTCGGTAATTTTTACAAGAATCTAGCATTTGACTACCGTTTGTTTTGGTAAAAGGCTTTATTTACAGTACGTTCGTCACACTTTTTTACAGTATTGTAAAATTGAAGCCATTTACAGTTTCGATCAGTAATTTTTGTTTACAGTTTTCGGTGATTTTCTGAAAATTACAGAAATTCAGTATTTTTCATTGCGGAAAGATGGTAATATAATACATTTTACATAAATATCGGTAAAATGATATTTTACAGAACGAGTTCAGCAAAAAAAGTACCGAACACAATTTAAGAAATTTGGTGTGTAATTTATTTTTTATTTTTTCGGTCACACGCTCCCAGCTGATCGACTTTTATTTTACACTGGGGTTGGCGATGTTTTATTATTTATCGATTATGCACATGGTTGCCAGCAAGTTCTAAACTTACGTAAAACTGTCACTTGAAAAAAATTATAGGTCGCGGACATCGCGGAGAAAAGAGGATCATCACAATCCATCAAGATGGTGATTACTATTTAGCAACATTAGTCCCGCGATTTTGATTCCCTTTCGAATGTTATTAACATTTTGAATGCCTAGCAGTTTGTGCAAAATCAGTCGGTGCATTTTCGATGAATCGAAAATTGATAGTGAGTGTTCTGTGTGATAGGAAGTTGTTGATTGTAAATTCTGCAATAAGCAGAAGTATAGATTGATTTTCCTGTTGATTACCTTGACTCCCGTTTGAAGGGACCAAAAAATCTAATTTTTGTTTGTGGGGCATTTCAAATGGTTTGCCTATTATTGCAGTCAGCGTCTTGATTTGGTTGGTGTCGCTGAAAATATTACGAAATTTGGCTAGCTTATTACATTCAAGTCTTTCAAAACTCTTTATTTTAGTTGTGGTTTGCTACTGTATCAGAGGTGTTAGGGTTTTTTTTGTTTATTATACACTAAACAGTGCCAGATTTTGCTACAAATAGTGCATACAGTGTACAGTTTTATCGTTAATAGTTATTATGCACAGTGTTTTCAGAGCCATTCGTCACCGAAAATAGATGTATTAGAAAACTGATTTATCAATAAAACAAAAGTTCCCACTGTGACGCACAACAAGCAGCTGGAAAACGGTATAAAAAAACAGTGTAAACAAGTTTTATTTGGACATTTGCACGGAAGAGCTATGTCGGACAATTTGCCCTCTTCGTGCCAGCAGAAGCAACAGAATGATGGTAGCAAATCTCATGATGATCCGCAATCACAGACTGTTCCCCTTCAGAATCAGCAGCCACAACCAACGAAATGGATTTGCGAATATTGCACATACGAAAACTTCCCTCTATCGTTGAAATGTACCATGTGCAAGGGGCAGAAGCCTCTTTTGAACGAGGATATTTTCAGGTGAGTTTATTGTTTTTGGATTAAAACTTCAATCGATATGTATTGGTAATCTAAATCTGCGTTTAAAGAAAGTGAGGCGATCTATCAAAGTAATTGGAAGCTTTGAGTGATCAAATTGTACAGATTGCGTACATATGAATTGTCATCTATCAATACATTTTTTGTATATTTATATCAAAAAGACTCAAGAAAAATTAATACGCTGCATAGCAATTCAATGAAAGATTCTCATTTGATATAATTGTGTTGTTGTTATTACCATGGTAAGCTCCAATCATTTTTTTTTTCTTCTTTTTCTTGTTTGGCTTTATTATGCCTAGGGAAGACGATAAATTTGTCAACCCGAAAAACTGCTAGACCCTAGAAGCCAACCTGGCAATCCCCAGCATGGGCTTGCTTTACACGCTAACTTGAAAGTACATAATGTGTAAAAAATACATTTTTTTAATATCCTCAAATTAAATCCCGATCACGAATGTCGGGCTGCTTGATGTCGACGTCGGTTTTAATCAATACATTAAAATATTTGGCAGATACTCCAATCAGGGTCAGTATTAAAAGTTAATCCGAGTTGAAACTCATGCTATGTTCAGACTGCAGAGTTCATGTTATAATAATATTGTCGAAAAGAAAAATTTCATCAAGATAATGTTATAACATGTTATAACTGCTCAGCCTAAACATAGCATTATGCTATGTTCAGACTGCCGAGTTATAACATTAAAGCTATCTTGATGTGTTTTTCTGTTCTAACAATTATTATAACATGTTGTAGTTATGCAGTCTGAACATGACATTACCGCCATTAGTGTTATTATTTAACTTCATTTACGAGCCTTTCAGTCTTTCATCTCTGAGATCAAATTTTGATAATAAGCAATACAATTTTTGGATAATATGATGGTCCCTCCCCTTGGCTAGTTTTTGCACCTTGCTGTTGGTGGGCGGGCTTAATTTCATGCTAGTGGAGTGTTGGAGACGGTAGGTTTATGGCCGGCGTTGCTGGCTCATGCCGCGATAGAATGGCGTAATGAGCAGGCAATGGGGATTACTGAGCTTCCCCTCTCTGATAAACCACTGCATGAGAGAACCAAAGATCTAGTCTAGCAGTGATAGTATCACACTTGTTACTCCTTTAATTGAGAGCCGCGTCGTAGTACGCTTACGTTTAGGCACTGACGTTGGGTGTGATACTGGCGGGTTTTGCCGCAAATCACTCTTATTTTATTTATTTTTACGGAGATAGATTTATTTGGGTTTGCAAGGGAATTATACTATTGAAATATTTCAGAAAGTGCACCGTTGGGCCTTCTATTTGCCTGACAAGCTTTTATTGTTGTTTTCATTGAGGTATTACTCAGGAAACAATGTTAAACATCATTTTTGTACATGGTATTGTAACTAATCTTATATGTGCTTCATTTTGATTTGGGATAAGTGTTTGAACTATGGCTCGGGATTTCCACTGTGGTGTGCTTCTATTGTGACATACCCATATGTATTTTTGTGGTGCCACATAGTGGAAACGTGAGAGCGTAATTGGAACATTTACCCTATACAATATACAATTTAAAATTAGCTTGGAAACTAACTTCACAGTGAAGCATTTTAGTCACTTGAAGGTGTCACCTGGGACGAACAAAGATATAATTAATATATGTCTAAGCCAGATAGGACGCGGGGGGTCCGCTTAGGGAGGCGACTAGCCTATGAAGTTGTATAATAAATCTTCCTATTTAGTGTGTTTGTTAATTGCAGACAATGTCAATAGCGAAAGTCATATCTTCAACCAGGCGCTTACGAACAAGTGAAGTTTTAGGAAAGATGTGTTAAATATGTTGATAGGTTTGAAATAAGAATTAGGATTGTTGTGCTTTAGTTTTCGCTAAGGTATGATGTGTCAACAAAACCCTTTTGAGCAAATTTTCAAACATCAAATTGATTGAGTGATTTATTGAAAGATATTGCGTTGCGAAAATTGACAAGTCATACATCTAACATAGTAGTAGTAGCAGTGTCGCATAATCTTATAACAATTGCTGCAAATAGTGCAAACACTAAAATGATCCCGGAACTAACATTTATCCATTGCACTTTTAGTTATATATTAGTTTTATTTTTCTACTAAGTCATCTATGCTTATTTCTATTGTTTGGATCAAGTACAACTAATACTAATCTACCTTTATGTATGTTTTACTCCCTTTTAACCCATTATCTTTATGAATGGCGAATCATATGACGTGAGACACGTACAAGCTGGAACTCAAAGAATTACTTCGAACATAGTAATTGTCAATAATTCATTAATTAGTAGAAATCTCGATAACTTTTTCAAGGGAGCGTATCGGCTTTTGTAGGCTGTGCGTTTGGTCGTCGATTTGGCGTAACTGGTGGCTCGCCCGCGCGTGCTGGCACTATCATCAGATAGGGGAAATTTTCCTCTACCTGCTGGTGGTGTTGATAGGCGTGTGCGAGCTGCCGGTTGCGCCGGATCGGCGATCGGATACATTGTTTGCAGGAAATTAGTCATGACAGAGTAACAGAACGAGTTTAAAAACAGGCAATAGACACAAGTTGACACAATAAACAAGACAAGTGGAAGTTAATACACAAGACAAAATGACAAAATAAGAGACGACAGAAGACAAGACTGGGACAAAAACCAACCTTTTAAAAAAACAAGAATGCGCAATTATATTATCAAAACTATTTGGATCAGCACAAAAACAACAGTGACCAAACGGGCACCATAGCCTAGGAACGTCTGTGTGTTGATTTAAAATAGAGGCTCATAGAAGCAAAATTTATCAATAAAAGGGGTCCAGTGTAGAGTTTAAGCAAGTTGCTGCCACTGTGATTACCAAAAAAAAAAAAAATGGATAATATGATGGTATTGTTGATATCTGTTATTAAAGTATTGATTGCTTAAAATTAATAAGTTTTGCATAATGCAGGATGGCAGGCAACTCTACAAAAAAAACAAAATATTGTTACATTCAGTCGATGTGATAAACTGCGCGCGGCCTTTCGGTTTTTCCCAAAAAAGCCTTTGCACAAAGTTTCAGTGAAGGGCCGTAATTTTATCCTCAATAAGAATAGAGTAAACTGGGAGCTAAAACCGCGGCTAGCGCAAAAGTCACGTGAAATTATGGGGAAATACCCCAATAAAGGATTGAGATCAAATTTTCGGCCAACTAAACACAATCTGTACTTTAGCGTTTTTTTCGAACGTATTTTTAGACAACATGGAATATTTCTACTAAAGATTACGTCTAAATAAATTTTACCCTTCCATAGTATCGTTGGATTTGATTAAAGTCACAAATTAAATTTATCAAAAATCCAAATATGTGTATCCGTAGAGTAAACATTGTTCAGCTCAAATTGCTCTTTTATACCACACAGAAAAAAAGTTGTTGTATATTACATCGAAACTGCTGCAACCAGGTCAATCCATCGATTGTGTAATATCACATTGTACGATGTACATCGATTTTGTGAACAAAATTACATCCATTGATGTAATATTGTATCTGCTTTTTGCTATTACATCATTATTTCATACATCAGCTTGAATTACGTTGATCGATATTACATTTTTTTGCTGTGCAAGTTCACACTTCTTCTTCGCATTTCAAGCTTATTCAAGGTGACCTTGTAAATAAAGGAAAAAATAAAATAAAAAATCCAAATGAGTTTTGGAAAGAACTCTACAAGAGTCCTGACTAGAACTTCAAGTCAATTGTGAGAGTTCAGAGTCAGAGTGGAAAATTCCCTCCCCTTGGCTAGTTTTTAACCTGGACGTTGGTGGGCGGGCCTAATGTTATGCTTCATAGTGGAGCGCTGGAGACGGTTGGTTTAGGTCCGGCATCGTTGGCTCATACCGTGACAGAATAGCGTCATGAGCATGCGATGAGGATTACTGAGCTTCCCCTCTCTGATGAACCATTGCATGAGAGAACCAAAGTTCTAGTCTGAAGTGATAGTATCACACTTAGTACTCCTTTGTTTGAGAGCCGCGTTGTAGTACGCTTACGTTGGGTGCGATACTGACGGGTTTTTCCGCAAATCACTCTTATTTTATTTATTTTTACGCAGATAGATTTATTTGGGCTTGCAAGGGAATTATACTATTGAAATATTTCAGAAAGTGCCCAACAGTGCTCCTTCTATTTGCGTGACAAGCTTTCATTGTTGTTTTCATTGAAGCATTACTCAGGGAACAATGTTAAACACCATTTTTGTTTCATATGGTATTGTAACTAATCTTATATGTGCTTCATTTTGATTTGGGATAAGTGTTTGAACTATGGCTCGGGATTTCCACTGTGGCGTGCTTCTATTGTGACATATGCAGACGTAATTTTGTGGGACGACATAGTGGAAACGTGTTAGTTTAGTTGGAGCATATACCCTATATAATTTAAAAATCAGCTAGGAAACTAATTTAAACGTGAAGCATTTTATCACTTGAAGGTGTCACCTGGGTCGATCTAAGATATAATGAATATAGATCAAAGTCAACATTACTTGAAACACGTTAAATTTTAGATTACATAGCAGTTTAGGTACTTAATAAAGCATGAGTTATGATTGATTAGGTAAATTAGAGATTTCAATTATTTATTAAATTAGACTAATGAGATATCATAATCATCCAACGAACTTAAATAAGAAAATTTAGACAGCCTAATAACATTAGGTAGATTAACAAAAGAGTTAGGATACGGGGGGTCCGATAGGGAGGCAACTAGCCTTTAAAGCAACTGGCAACTAGCCTTTCATATATTGTCTGTTTATTTTGATGGTTGCTTTAAAATATCAATTTGGTATATTTGTGAAAGGATGAATCAGTGGGAGATGGATTTTCGGTTTCTTTACATTTAGCATCACAAATCTAATACTATATGTCATTTCCTCAAAACCCCCCAATAACCGACCTCTTCAATCCCTTACTTATCCCAATATCACATTCATTAAGTAACAGTTTGTTCGATA